CGACCCTTGTTTCTGACGTGGACCCAAAACATTGACTCACTTTCCTCTCTCCATAGATGCTGCCTGACCTGCTGAGTGTTCCCTCCACACAGCAGACTGACTGTTTATCAGCAGTCAGTAGGAACCCGGTTATTAATCGATTGATGGATCACTTTCCACTGGTAATGATCCCTTCAAAAATAATAATAATAATTTAGTCACACAACCCATGGCTGTTTGTGGGACATTGTGTGCAATTGGCTGCTGAGTTTCGCCCAAAAATATACAGTCACTACACTTTACAGTCTATTCTGTGAAGCGCTTTGAGACTCGAAAATGTGATAACAACAACAACAAGATTGCATTTATAGAGTGCCTTTCATGTCAGGAGGATGTCCCAAGACGCTGGACAATTGGGTCATGACCCGAGCAGGGGGGAAATGGTCAGGGTGAGGGGAGGGAAGGGAGGAAGCGAGGAGGGGGTAGAGAGTTGAGAGGGGAGCTGAAGGCACGATCGAAGAGAAGGCGCTGTATCAAATGCAAGGATGATTATTATTATTATTATTAATCCCTTCAAAAAATGTTCCATGTGCCGGGAGAAGTCTCTCCTGGTGTCCTGGCTAACAATCTTCCAGAAAAAAATGGCCACTCACTTCAACAACACATGACATTTACACGGTGCCTTTCATGTCGGGAGGATGTTCCAAGGTTCTGGAGGGTCAAGGCTTTGCACCCGAGCTGGGGGTTGAGATTAGGAGGGGTGCAGGGCAGGGAGGGTGTGGTCAAAGAGGAGAGTCTGGAGACAGGGCTGTTCACGGTTGTTTGTGGACGTCACTTTGGGCAAAGTGGCACCATGTTTGGACAACAACAACTTGCATTTACACAGTCACTACACTCAACAATAATTCCCTGTAGAGCGTTGTGACCGTAACAGGCGCTGTCTCAAACCTGGGGATCAATAGGCATTTTATTTCACTTGTGTGTGAGGGAGCACAGAACGGTGACAACTCCGGCAGAAGCTGATTTATTTTCCAGCAGAAAAACAGCTGAACCAAGGGATTATCCGCAATTCTGTTGTGTCTGAAAGGCAAAAAAATGATCTTACAACTAGGAATTGGGGGAATTGCAGGCTCTAGAGCGGTCGGGGTGAGGTGGACGGTGGGGGAGCGCAATGAGAAGTCGTGTATGTGGGGGCGGGGGGCAGCCGGGGGAAGCAATGGCATTAACCAGATCAAACGCGAGGCAGATACCCAGAGACAGGCAGCTACTCAGAGACTCTCTAACTTCGTGCCTCTGGCATCTCTCCTGATAGAGAACAATTTGTAAAGCATCTTCACACTGACTTACAGGGACCCTATTGCACTGCGGAGATAAGGGAAACCTGCAGAGAAAGAACGTAACTCATTGGATTAGGGTCAATTCCCACCCTGGGGGTCCAGGCAAGGAGAGGAATCACAGCTCCCAGTAAATCAGCCACTACGCCCCGAAACTCTGGAACTCTCTCCCTCTATCCCTCCACCTTGCCCCCTCCTTCCCCATCTTCATCTCCCCCTCCTTCCAGCTCGGCGTCGTGCTGCGCCACTGTCAAGCGCTCCGGGACATTGCCCTGCGTGAGGGGGCGCTGTGTAAATGCAAGTTGTTGTTGTCCACATCGCAAGCCAAGGGCTCCTCCAAACCCCCAGTCACTTACCAACCTGCGCCTAATACTCTCCAGAATTAGGTAAGCAGGATGTGTCCCTCCAGGGAGAGAGAGAGCGTTCCATTCCAATAATCTCTCTCTGGGATTTGCATGTGTAGAGAGGATAATAATAATTATAATCCTTGCATTTCATACAAGACAAAACGCTTCAGAGGATCCACTACAGAGTGAATTGACTGTATATTATGTGGGAGAAACACAGCAGCCAATTGCGCACAGAGATTCATAGAGCCATAGAATTATACAGCACAGAAGGAGGCCATTCGGTCTGTGCGCTCTTTGAAACGAGCTTCCAAATCAACCCCACTCCGCCGCGCTTTCACCATAGACCTGATCAACCCCACTCCCCCGCGCTCTCCCCATAGCCCTGATCAACCCCACTCCCCCGCTCCCTCCCCATAGCCCTGATCAACCCCACTCCCCCGCTCTCTCCCCATAGCTCTGCAAACTTGTCCTCCCCAAATAATTATCTACTTCTCTCTTAAAAGCTGTTATCGAATCGGTTCCCACCGGCCTTTCAGGCAACGCATTCCAGATCCCAACAACTCGCTGTGTGAAAACATTTCTCCTCAACTCCCCTCTGTTTCTTTTAACACCTATTTTAAATCAGTGTCCTCGGGTTACCGACCCACCCGCCAGTGGGAATAGTTTCTCCTTCTTCATTCTATTGAATCCCCTCATAATGTTTAAAACTTCTATTAAGTCTCCTCTTAACCTTCTCTGCTCCAAAGAGAACAATCCTCGCTTCTCTAATCTCTCCTGATAACTGAAGTCCCTCATTCCTGGTACCATCCTGGTCAATCTCCTTTGCACCCTCTCCAGTGCCTTGACATCCTTCCTAAAGTGCGGTGCCCAGAATGTGGGGTCCTAAAGTGGAGTCCTGTAGCTCAGTGGTTAGAGCACTCGCTTTGCAAGTGAGAGACCCGAGTTCAATTCCAGGCAGAGGGCGAAACCTTGGGCAAGTTTCCTTACTCCACACAGAGCCTAATAATAATCCCTCCAAAACAAAACAATAATAAATTGGTCATTTTCAATCTACGACTGTTTGTGGGACATTGCTGTGCGCAATTGGCTGCCGCGTTCGCCCACAAATATACAGTCAATTCACTTTATAGTGTGTTCTGTGAAGCGCCTTGGGACGTCCTCCCGACGTGAAAAATGCTATATCCAATGCAAGGATTATTATTATATTATTATTATAACTGAACACAGTCTCTAGCTGGGGCCTAACCAGTGTTTTATATAAAGGTTCATTATAACTTTCTGACTTGTGTATTCTATGCCCCTATTTATAAATCCTAGTATCCCGATGCTTTTTTAACAGCTGTATCTACCTGTCCGGCCACCTTCAGAGATTTACTATATGACCCTCCGGTCTCTCTGTCCCTTCACCCCCTTTAAGATTGTACCATCAGCTTATATTCCTCTCCTCATTCTTGTATGTACAAAATGTATCACTTCACATTTCTCTACATTAAACTTCATCTGCCCCGTGTCTGCCCATGTTACCAGTCTGTCTATGCCCTCTTGCAGTCTGCTTTTCCTAGCTTACTATCATCTGCAGACTTGGAAATTGTCCTCCCCATACCCAAACAGTCATGGATTGAATGTCCAAATTATTATTTAATATGCATGGATTTCTCAGTTGGGTTTGGAGCCTCTTAATCATGTTGATGGGTTTCTGCGTGTGTCAGACACCCGGCTGGGCAAAAAAAAAAATTGCCTGCATTGGGACAATTCCTGATCTGGTGAATAAATCAGGAATTGGAACAAAGTGACTCTGTTCCCCTGATTAATGGGATTCCGTGATGCTGGTTGTGTGGGCGAGGGCAGGCAGGCAGCACGGACCCAGAGGCAAAATTTCTGCTGTGAGAAGAATTCACGACGAGTTTCAAATATTCGAGAAGTAGAATGAAGCCATTAGCTCAGTCCAGCCACACCCAGGGCTCACTCCCTCCCTCCCTCCCCAGGATGAAAACAGTTTATTTTATAAGAACTTTTTATAAGAATGGGGCGAAACCTTAGACAAGTTTCCTTACTCCACACACCTCTGTTTACCAGCAGTAAGTAGGAACCTGGTTGTTAGTCAGTTGGTGGATCGCTTTTCCGGGGGTAATAATCCCTTCAAAAACAAAATAATAATAATTTGGTCACTTCAATCCATGACTGTTTGTAGGACGTCGCTGAGCGCAATTGGCTGCCGTGTTTCGCCCACAAAATATAGTCAATTCCTTTTACAGTATATTCTGTGAAGTGCTTTGAGACGTCTCAATGTGATGAGGCGCTGTATCAAATGCCAGGATTATTATTATTAACTGCAGAAAAATCGCCTTCAAATTGAGACTGAATCTCTGAACTTTCCACACAATTCTGTTCAATCTGAAACTTCAAGCCACAATGTTCTCCACAGCAGATCATCCAGAACTCGGCAGCTCGTGTCCTCTCCCACACCAGGCTGTGTGACCCCATCACCCCCACCCCTTGCCTGGCACACTGGCTCCCCATCCCTCAGAGGATAGAATTCAAAATCCTCGTCCTCACTTTCAAGGCCCT